CTCAATTACCGTTACACGATAGAAATCCAGAACAAAGAAAGAAAATTGCGAGACCCACACTGGATAGCTCCTTGGGATATCCAAACAATCAAATCTGGAATTTTGGATTGTCGACCAAATGCCCCCCATGGTATGCCGACCTTCAAAATCCACAAGAACCAAGCAACAAACAGTACCAGGACCCAACCCAATGGAAAAATAAAAAAACAACAAAAACCCAAAGATAGGTAGATGAAGCCAATATACAACGACTAGATGAAGATCACACCCAAAACCAGATATAGTGGACGACACACAAACCTCTGACAAGCAAAGGAACCCTCTAGAACAGAGGCACTCCTAGGACAGGAGAAAAATTATTTCCTGAACATTAATATATATAGTTAGATAGAGTGAAGAATAATTAATATATAGGGTAAAATGCAAGAAACCCCCCTAGACTATTGGAAAATCTGTAACTAACCCTCTGGACTTTAAAAAATGCAAAAAACCCTCTAGACAATGCAAAATTATTGCAGATGACCCTATCCGTCCAATGTCCGGTGACATATGACCGTTAAAATTGGTTTGTTAATTTTAAATGACCATATTACCCATGGAAGTATGAAAGGACAATAGTGTCCCTAATTTCCAACATTTGATAGCCCATTCCTTATAATTGAACCGACCCAAACAAACCTTAATAAAAAAAACTCCCTAAATCGACAACTCTGCAACTTTCTAGGGTTTGTCTTCATTTTCAATTAGTTGTGCATCTTGCTGAATTTGGTGGTCAGAAACAACATACCCTTATTGTGCTTTCGTGCCAATCAACTGTGCATCTTGGTAAGGGTTGTTATCCATCTGTAGGTCTGTATTTTGGAAAGAGCGAACAAATTTTTTTTCACTTTGTTCATCATTGTGCTCTAAGCGTATCCATCTCATTTTTTGTCTCTATGTATGTTTGTTGTGTATTGTTCAATATGTGTGTGTGTGTGTCTATATATATATGGTATTATTTTCTCTATTAATTTTCATTTATATGGTATTATTTGTAGAAAATGAGTTTTGAATCGTCTGTAAGTTTTAGTTTTCGGGGTGTGGTGCGAAGGGGTCCTTTTAGGAATAGGAAATGTTGTTGTGATAAAAGGACAGCTGTTTTTATATCTGAGTCAACCGACAATCCTGGCAAGCTCTATTTCAATTGCAAGAATAAGGAATGTAATTTTTTCCAATGGTGGACTCCTCCAACAAGTTTCGGTGAAGCCATTGAAGATGAAGATGAAGCTCGAGTAGGTCATGTTGTACCTCTCAGTTCGTTCATTGCAATTGTTAAGTCAATGTTTGTTGGAAGCATGTTCTTCTTTGGGTTGTCAGTTATAATCTTATTTCGTTTCCTTTTTATGAAGTGAGTTTTTTGGCTGGGACTTGATAGTGTTGTATGTTGAAGATCAATTTTAGGAGTGGAATTTTTTGGATGGTTGGGATTTAGTAGTGTTGTATCTTTATGTATCATTTAAACCTCTTGTAATACTGTAAGTATGTTGGATGACAATGGTGTCTATTTTGTTTAATGACAATGCAATGCAATTATGTCTATTTTCTGGTTGTATATGTTGTGCAATGCAATGACAAAAAATGCAGGAAGGTGTTTTTGGTTGTTTGATGAATGACAATGCAATGCAATTGTATCTCTTTTCTGGTTATATATGTTATGCAATGACAAAAAATACAAGAAGGTGTTTTTGGTTATTTGATGAATTAGAGTGCAATGCACTTGGTTGTTTGATGAATGACAGTGCCGTGCAATTTTTAACAGACTTAACACAACATGCTCATCTCTCCATTTTTACCCCCACCCATAAAATCAATTTTCCCTCACTGAAAATTTCTTATGCTCCAACAGTTAAAAATGACTTCATGGTCCGGATGATATGATCATGGAGAAGTTGAGAGGTAATGGGAGTGTGTTTGATTTAATTTCCAAAAATAAAAAATTCATGTAGCAAGAATAGACTTGCAGGGATTTCTCTAAATGGAAGTACAAACCTAAATATAGAGACAAAATCCAAACGTAATAAACCATAGACTGTCTAAGGTACAAAGACCACCCTTTTTTTTTCTCATGCTTGTGACCTAAGAACAAAATGACATAACATACTAGAAAAAGTAGAAACTGCCAAACATCAAATTAAATGAAGTGAACAATGAATGATAAGAAAGATCAAGAGGGGAAGGAAACAAAAGAAAAAAAGACAATACACTTCCTCTCTTTTTCATGAGAATCCCTTTGTACATAATACAGAATTTTCCTCTCTCTCATACATAGCCTATCATACATCAATTACAGCCAAAAAAAAAAAAAAAAAAAACTTCATACTGATAAAGCAGCCATACATTCAGAAAAGTTTAGAACAGTTACACTGATAAAACAAACATACATTCAGAAAATTTTAGAACAGTTACACTGATAAAACAACCATACATTCAGAAAAGTTACATAAGAAGACTATTTTGAGCTAGTCTTTCATATAACCACAGAGTGACAACACCAAAAAAGCCAACATATGTAGTCTTCACTCCATTATCTTTAACAATCACCAAAAAATCAAACTCTTTAAGTCAGCAATAGTAGAGTGACAAAACCATCATCAGCTCTATGGCCATATTAACTACCAACATGCATATTCACTATCCATCATTGAGTTGTTAATCAACCAAAAAATTTGTTAACAACAACAAACAAACCATAGCATTAAATCTAAATATGGTATGTTTTGAACTTGAAAAGGTATGGTATGTTTTGAACTTGAAAATTAAATTATACCTGTAAGAATTTGATGGCTGAGTTTGTGATAGCTGAGAATATGGTATGTTTTGAACCTAAAAATAAATTGGTTGAGAAACAAGTGAGTTTGAACATAAAAAAACCATAGCAAGTGTGTGTTCATACCATAACATTGGACATACCTCTTGGTTTGAAGGTGCTGGAGCAGGAACTTCAACTCCTCTATTTCTCCCTCTTCCAGCCCTTTTTCCTCTTCCTTTTAGTGGCATCCCAATAGGTCCTCTTGCTCTCCCTCTTCCAACATTTGTTGGTCTACCTCCCTTCCTTGGTGGAGGTCTGTCAATGACTAAAGGCTCAGGTAATTTGCAAATCCTTGAGTTATGCCCATTCTCTTTGCACCTGGTACATTTTAAACTAACTATTGACCTGCTAAGCTTGGTTGAACCTTTGGGATCATCATTCTTCTTATTTCTAGCCTTTTTTGGCCTACCAATGGGTTTCCTATAGTGTGATGGAAGCAATGGGTCAATGGTGTCAGTTTTTATTAACCTTTCCATTGAAATGGGAAGGATCATGCCACTATAACACTTCATATAGGTTTCCCTCTGATAAAATGGGTGAACATATGCCTCAAGAGAGTCCCTTTTAATGAAAATACATGCCACAGTATGCCTACATGGGATACCAGTTAAGTTCCAAACTTTACAGCTGCAGGTTCTTTTATCAATGTCAACTGCCTCACTAATGCCATAGTATTGCACCTCATACTTGTTCTCACCAGCATAATGAACTTTACACATGGTAGCTTGCTGTTTGACTTTATTCAATGCCTTTTGTATATGTAGACATAAGAAGCCAAATCTTACACTGGAACCTTAGCATTAGATGTCTTCTAATCATTTCAAGCATGTAGATTATTGGTTTATCCCTTGCTTCAAGAATTACAGTATTCCAACTTTCACAAATGTTATTAATGAGCAGATCATTTTTTGAAGTTTCAGTGAAGGATGACCATACACACAATTTAGCTGGCACCTTTGTTAACCAATCATTAGCTTCAACATTCAAGTATCTGATTTTTCTCTGATTAGGTTTGCCGAGCACAGAGTATACATAAACACCACAAATGAATGTTTGTGGGTCTGTGGTGCGAATAAGCTGGGTTGCTGGTATGACACATTATAAGAGATAACATACCTTATCTCTTTAGTGTGCTATCGAGCTCCCATTTGCTATTGAGATTTTTGTTGCCATGTCAGCAAGCTAATATGACAATGTTTAAACGGTGTCGTTTCATAGTAAGGGCAAATATGTCATTTTTCTTTTCCGGTGACTTGATGGGGTAATATGCAACAAAATCAAAGTCCAGGGGGCTTTTTTTGTAGTCCAAGGGGTTTTTTTTTGTAGTCCAAGGGGTTAGTTGCAAAACTCCTATAGTTCAGGGGGGTTTCTTGCATTTTACCCTAATATATAAGATGACATCGGCTCTAAGTTTTGCGAAAAATAAATTGGAGCCCCACTTAGCATAGTCTCATTCTCACATAAAAATATAAAAATAAAAATTACTGTGATTAAATTAATGTCATAAAATAAGTTTTATAATTGAAATTTATTAAGAGTTTACAAAATTTGCTAGCCCCTTTACAAAATTAATTATTATTATTTTTCAACGTAATCTCATTTTTCTATTTTTATTTTTATGTTTTTTTCATTATATTTTTTTCCTACTTCTCAAAATAATTATTCTTCTTCTTTTTGCACTTATGTTTGTAGTATATATAACTTCTTTATTTTTCTCGTTTTGTTCTTTTTTGTTCTTCTTGTAATTTCTTTCATGTTACTGTATCCAATGAAAATACTACCTTGGGAGCAGCTTCAACGTTCCCGCTTTATAGCAATTTTGGGCCAAAAAATAGAAATATGTTACTCCATTGGACTAGCTGAAAAGTGGGCCAGTATTTTTGAGTTTCCAAATGGGTCGCCAAAAAGGGCGACCGTGTTAGCGATCGCGGGCCTACCATGCGGGACAACCTGTTTTTTTGTTTTTCATGTTTGTAGTATATAACTTCTTTATTTTTCTCTCTTTTTGTTCTTTTTATTTATCTTCTTCATATTTTTCTTTCATCTGACTGTATCCAACGAAAATACTACCTTGGTAAGGATATTATTTTGTAATAATTTTTTGTTGTGGATGATGGTAGAGTCTATCCATTACACATAAATGTCTGGTACCTTAAGAAACCAACTCTATGAAAAGAATTGATATTGATAAATGACTGAACCAAAAAAGAGAAGAAAATGGAAAGATGTGTCTCTGAACTCTCAGGTTGTGATGCATGCATTAAGTACAAAAGATAATCACCAGAAATAAGTACAGAATATCAATCCAACAGACCAAATATAAGTTAAATATCCAAAAACATGCAATGAAAGGACCTAGATAGACGATATCAAATAAAGTTCCCAGCAAAAGTTTATCCTCTCGCAAATAGAAGAGATTAATTGTTTGGTTCCATGAATATGTGCCTAAGCTTAGGCCACTTTTGTTGGACCGAAGACAAAGAGCTCTCTGCAGTCTTCTTCTCAGTCTCAATAGTTGAGATCTCCTCAAGAACAGAGGATCTAGACTGTTCTAGAATAAAGTACCCAACAAGTTTATCGTCTTGCAACTAAAAGAGATTAATTGTTTGGTTCCATGAATATACGCCTGAGCTTGGTCCATTTTTGTCGGTACGATGACAGAGAGCTCTCCGCAGTCCTCTTCTTGGTCTCAAGAGTTGACATCTCCTCAAGAACAGAGGATCTAGACTGTTCTAGATTAACCATCTTCATGCAGTTGCTTCATCTCTTTCTCAGCACTTCTCTTCTTCTCAGAGATCTTTGTCAGTTCAGCCTGCAGACTGGCCGCCTTCGATATAAAGTCTGTGTGAATAGCCCACTGCATTTGGAATGCCAATGCATCAATCTTTATTTGCTCAACCAAAGACTTCTTTGTTCCTTGCTTTTCTGCCATTTTTTCCTCAACCTCCTTCAAAGAATGATTGGAAGTCTGGTAAGTTTGGAGAAGTGTTGGAAACTCAACCTTAAAGGTGTTCAACTCTGCAAGCTGGGCTGGAGTAAGGTCACAGCACTCAGACAAGACTCTGATGGATTTTGTAAGGCGTGCGGCCAAATAAGGAATTTCTGACAGGTCCCGAGATAGCATCTCTATGAAGAATTTTTTGGCTTCATCAATAGTTGATTGAGGAATGGAGGTTGTGACCGATCCTTCAGTAGTGGAGTCAAAGATTGCATCAGTCTCTACTGCAGACACTAACTCGGAGATATAGGCATTCATGTCATCAAATGAAGATGACTCAGGAGGAGCACTCGTTGGAGTACTCCTTGGCAACTCAACTTCCTACAAAGATTACAAAGAAAATTTCATTTCAGAAACCGACTATCCATCAGGTAAAAAAGTTTTTTCTTTCAAAGATAAAAATAAAACAAAACATTGTTGATCGAGTCCGGAGAAAAAGCTGCTGACCGGATCTTTGGCCTGAGGGGATTTAACCTTTGATTCCTTTTCAACAATTGGAGTGGTTGGTATGACCAAAGCCTTGATTGTTTCGGTTGCTGATTTACTGGCAGGAGGAGGGCCCAAGATATCAGTTTGAGGTGGGATTGTATCGGTACCAGAAGCAGTCTGTCTAGTGTTCCCATCAATATCCCCACGAGAAGTAGACTCGGGAGTTTCACCTTCGGCCGACGCAGTCTTAAGTTCAACTGAACGGAAGCCAGGAAAATCAACTTCAACTACACATGTATCGTCCACAATATAACCTCTCCCAAGGTCATACAGTTCACTAAGAGGCATGAATCAAATGGAACTGGTGTTCAACAACGCCTGCATAAAGAAAACAGTCACAACTATCGCCAAAGGCTGCAGGCTACAACTAGAACTGCAGTGGACCTCACCACCTAGACATTTAAAGTAAATTAAATGTTTTTATTTTTAAACACCAAAATTAAGTACTTTACCAATTAAAATTTCAACAATGCGTCCCTCTTAATCCCAATAACAACAATGATAGAAACACAACAACATTATCAATAGTAAAGGGAGCATGAATAATCACCATCAGGAAACTAAAATGCACTGTAGCGAGAACAAAAAAGAACATAATACCAAATTCACACTTTCCATCACCAAATAAATGGTGTGTTTTCAATAGAATTTCCTAAATCTACCCCTTTCTGAAAAATAAAAAAGAATGAATGAAGAAAATTCAACCTCAAGCAATTTCAAAGACCTGTCATAAACACATTATTAAACAAATATTTTCCAAATATAATTTCTGCAGCCTTGCTTCCCCTTACATAACATATAATCTATGTTATCTGGACTCGGGTGTGTGTGTGTGTCGGATGTATGTATCCATGTGTTTGCCGTGTCAGATCTCTAAACAAAAGGACACATGGACATCGCTGAATATTCATTTTATTTTATTTTCTAGAGTAAAGTAATATTTTTATCTAATATTACGTTAAATATAGGCTTTTTAATTCATTTTAAAGTAATAATATAATATAATTGAATGATTGAATATGTTTTTTAAGTACATGTCCACCCTAAAGCTTTGCTAATTAGTTCAACACCTATCACATTCAATAATTATAAGTTAAACCACATATAGAATTACCTCTAGTAAAACACCAATTAGAATTACTTCTAGTAACATAAAACCATCAAAAAGAACAAATTCTGCAAATATAAATACTCCGTAATATTTTTCCGCACAACATATAAGCCTATGTGTGTGTACGTATTTAGTCCACCCATATGGCAAAGTTTCTGAATCCGAAACACCTAAATAAATCACCAAATGGTCCGCATCCCTGTTTCCCTTTGGATATATATATATACATGTCTTTTCCACACAATGCAGAAGAAAAAAAAAAAAAAAAAGAGAGCTTAAACATCAACCATAATGATGAAAATCTAAATCTAGAAAGAGGGTAGACATCAAAATTACCATTTGTATCCTCCAACATAGAAACTTTCAGAGCATACCCTCTTGGTATTCAGCCTTGTAAAGTTCTCAATCGTCCATGTTAACCGTACTGTATTATCAGTTTTTGCTGATGCAACAATCAATGATTTTAGAAGAACAATAAAATATTAAAAGGACAAAAAATAAAAACCATACAATGGAATCAAATGATTCAAATCTACTACACACTGACACAGAATCACAGATACAAACACGTAATCTACATGACTTTCCCTGAATTAGTTAAATTGAAACTAAAATTTGAAAATTAGATTAAAGGTAATACCTTCCATGGGGTGAGGGTTGATTGTGTTCGAATGAGAACGAGAAATTTTGAGACTTCAACACCGAAGTAAAGTGGGTTGGAATCTAGAGGGTCCTAAATATTATGAAAAAAAGCAGTTTTTTTTTTCAAACGTAAATGTTTTTTTTAATGCTTTACCTTCTTCTTTTTCTTTTTCTTTTTAAAAGTTAATGCTTTACCTTTTGCATACAATGAAAGTCCTAACTTTTTACTGTGGTCGCGGCCCTCTACTTTTTAATGGATTATACCCATTATATATCTTGCCTCCATATTCGATTGGTTATATTAATCAATATTCGATTGGTTATATTAATCAATTATAGATTTGGATCCCTAATGAATTATCATATTAAATGTTTTAATTCTTTTTCTATTTAGTTCAGACTTCGATTCAGATATAGATATAAAGTTAGACAGAGTAAAGAATAATTAATATATAAGATAGTAAGGTCTGGTTCTAAGTTTTTGAGAGCCTCATGTGAAAAATAAATTGGAACACCATTTAGCATAGTCTCACTCTCACATAAAAATATAAAAATAAAAATTATTGTGATTAAATTAATGTCATAAAGTAAGTTTTATAATTGAAATTTATTAAGAGTTTACAAAATTCACTAGCCACTTTACAAAATTAATTAATTAAATTTTTCAACGTAATCTCATTTTTTTTTTTCTTATTATATATATATTTTATTATATTTTTTTCTACTTCTCAAAATAATTATTCTCTTCTTTTTGCACTTATGTTTGTAGTGTATAACTTCTTTATTTTTCTTTATTTTTGTTTTTTTTGTATTTCTCTTCTTCATATTTGTTCTTACATCTAACGGTATCCAATGAAAATACTACCTTGGGAGCAGCTCCAATGGACCCGCTTTATAGCAGCCCGTACTACCGTATTGAATGACATGTTTAACTGAAATATTACATTAAAATCAATTTTTTGGGTTATTTTGGTCTTTTTTTTTTTTTTTTTTTTTTTTTTTTTTTTTTTTTTAACATAATTGAACTAGAGCCGTTAAGGCACTATTTGACTGATACAAACGATGCCTTCAAAGCTTTTTTGGGCCAAAAATGTTTTAAAAAAATGGAAAAAAAGTGAATTTTTTTCCTTAATAAATATTGTATTGTTTTAATTATTATAATCAATAATATATTTTGTATTGTTTAGATTTTGTATATGATGTAGCAGTTAGAAATATAGCCATTAAGAAAAAGTTAAAAGAAAAAAAAATTATTAAAATTTGAAAAAAATTACTATTTTTGGAGAGCGAAAATGCAAGGATAGCTAAAATTTAAAGATTTCAAAACGTTGACGTAGCTCTTAAAAATGCTGACGTGGCACTTGAAATATGTTGATGTGACAAAATTGAAAACCCAAATTTTAGAAACTTCATTGGAAATGCTCTTAGGATATTATTTTGTAATGATTTTTTCTTATGCCCCTTGATTTGAGCCATTTATATATTTTTTTGGGACACTGCGCCACCCCTTAATTGAGATCGTGGTTCCCCCTGTGGATGGTGGTAGGAGTCTATCCAATATAGATAAATGTCTGGTATCTTAAGAAACCAACCCTATGAAAAGAACTGATATTCATAAATGACTGAACCTAAAAAGAGAAGAAAAAGGAAAGATATTGTGTCTCTGACTCTCAGGTTGTGATGCATGCATTTAAGTACAAAAGATAATCACCAGAAATAAGTACATAATATCAATCCAACAGACCAAATATAAGTTAAATATCCAAAAACATGGAATGAAAGGACCTATATAGACAATATCAAATTAAGTACCCAACAAAAGTTTATGGAACCGGTGTTTATCGTCTGCATAATGAAAACAGTTTCATATCAATCTGCTAAGCATTTGAAGTAACTAGAATGTACTGCATTGAGAACAAAAAGGAACATAATACCAAATTCACACTTTCCAGCACCAAATAAATAGTGTGTTTTCAATAGAATTTCCTAAATCTACCCCATTCCGAAAAATGAAAAAGAATGAAAGAAGACAATTCAACCTCAAGCAATTTCAAAGACCGTGTCATAAATGAAATAAACACATTGTTGACAATGAAACTATATGCTCCAAAGATAAACAACTATGCTTTCCAAATATAAAAGAACATATAATATCTTACCATCCAATGACTACAAATTAACCTCTGGAAAATAACTTCAGAATTTTTTTTTTGGTAAATCATTTTCAATCAGTTGGGAGTAAAATGATTTACATGAAAAATGATTTCCTAACCTTGAACTAGTCTTCCAAACACTGGAAAATGAGAAAAATTATTTCCGAAAAATATTTTACGGTGAAACAAACGGAGCCTAAAGGTAAAATGTAACCAGCCTATACAGATAAATATAACAGTACACCAACAAAAGTTTCTCATCTATCAAATAAAAAGAGATAAATTGATTTAGGAAAGGAAAAAAAAGAGAGATCAATTGTCTGGTTCCATGAATATGTTCCTGAGCTTGGTCCATTTTTGTTGGGCGGATGACAGTGAGCTCTCTGCAGTTTTCTTCTCGGTCTCAAGGGTTGAGATCTCTTCAAGAACAGAGGATCTAGACCGTTCTATATTAACCATCTTCCCATGCAGTTGTTTGACCACTTTCTCAGCACTCATCTTCTTCTCAGAGATCTTTGCCAGTTCAGCCTGCAGACGCTCAACCTCTTGTTGAAGCTTGCCCTCCTTCGAGATCAAGTCCTTGTGAAAACCCCTCTGCATTTGGAATGTGAAAGCATTTATCTTTACTTGCTCAACCAATGACTTCTTTGTTCCTTCCTTTTCTGCCATTTTTTCCTCGACCTTCTTCAAAGAATGGCTGGAAGTCTGGTAAGTTTTGATAAGTGTTGAAAACTCAACCTTAAAAGTGTTCAACTCTGCTAGCTGGTCTGGAGTAAGGTCACAGCACTCTAACAAGACACATATTGATTCTGTAAGGTGGACATAAAAATCAGGAATTTCTGATAGCTCCAGAGATAGCATCTTTATGAAGAATGTTTTGACTTCATCAATTGATTGAGGAGTGGAAGCTGCGACTGATCCATCACTAGTGTCAAAGGGTGCATCAGTCTTTACTATTGACACCAACTTGGAGATATAGGCATCCATGTCATCAAATGAAGATGACTCAAGAGGAGAACCCATTGGAGAACCCCTTAGCAACTCAACTTCCTACAAAGATTACAATAACAAATCTTTTTAGAAACTGACTCTCAGATCAAAAAAATATTAATAATAAATGAATAAAATTAACTTAATTAAATACAAAAACATTGTTGATTGAGACCGGAGAAAAGCTGCTGATCGGATCTTGGGGCAGAGAAGAATTAACTGTTGATTCCTTTTCAACAATAGGAGTGGTTGGGGGGACCGAAGTCTTCATCGCTTCGGTTGCTGATTTACTGGAAGGAGGGGGGCCCGAGGTATCAGTCTGAGGCAGGATTGTATTGGTACCAAAAGCAGTCAGTCTAATCCTCCCTTTGATATCCCCTTGAGAAGAAGACTTGGGAGTTTCACCTTTGCCCGAGGCAGTCTTTGCCGCCTCAACCTCAAGCTCAACTGAACAGAAGCCGGGAATATCAACTTCAACTATGCATTTATCGTTCACAATATAACCACTATCACGGTCATACAGTTCGCTAAGAGGCACGAATGAACTCGCACCCCATTCACTTTCTTTTGCATTGAGTTGAAAGTCTGCATATATAATGAAAACAATCGCAACTATCACCAATAAGGTCAAAGGCTGTAGGCTACAACTAACCTCAACACCCAGGCGCACGCCTATATTGTCAGTATATAAAACATATAAACTAGTAGAGCTATGGTCTTGAAAATGGAGTGCCGACTAGTAGAGCTATAGTTTTGAAAGTGGAGTGCCAAGGAAAGGATTGAAAAGAAATTGAATTTAAGATTGGAGAAAAACTTTGCAGGGGCAACCTTAATTTAGATGGCATTCTCAGCCCTGCATAGTGCATACAAAGAAGTAAAGATATAATTTGCACAAAAAATTATCCATTTAACATTAGCAGCATCAACCCATATCAACTTGTGATTGCATTTCATTACAGACAATTTATGCATTAACCATATAAAAGACTTCTGAGAAAGCGGCAGGATTGAGATTCTTGCTATCTGTCTGAGTGACAGTTAATTATCTGTAATTAACGATGCCTTATTCTGACTTATTTCCCCTCCTTCTTTGGTATCCTTACTTTGTAAAGAAGGTTGAGTATCTTTCTGACTCACGTAAAGTTGATTCCTTAATAAATTTTGATTAATTTTGTTGAAAATTAAAAGATCATTTAATAGGTTAATGTATTAGTAATTATTTTTCTATACATCCTGCACCATCATGAGGAAAGAAAAAATCAATCCACAACATCTTTTCTAATTAAAGCTTCCACACCTGTGGCATTCAATAAGAGATTGATACTACTGGTACAACTTTTTTCGCCTATTTGACATTGTTTTGTTATTTGATATGCTATGTGCCCTCGTACTTGGTACCTCAGAAGCAAAGACAATTTAAAGAGGAGCCTTATTTGTGTTAGACATGTTAGATAAATCCATAATAAAAAAAACTTATTAATTTCAGATTCACGGCTGACACTAATTACCTCTTGATAACATGTGACCAGTGAACCTCCAACATTAGCTTATAACTTTTTATAGCATGGAAACAAAGTACAAGTGTAAGGAGAACTCAAAATTAAAGGTTTATAAAATATTAAGAACAAGTTTGAACATAATTAAAGGCAAAAATTAAAATATAGGCAAATTTATTATATGGGTGAGATCAAGTTAGTGTCCTCACGATTCTGTGAGTACCACATAGATATACATATTTACATGTACAGAGGAAGATATACAGTTGTACCTTGTTCTTGCTATGATTTTGTCGATGCAACATGGGTGAGTATTGATTATTGTGACCCATAAGTACCAAAAGTCATGTTACAGTTACTCGATATTTGATTTACCCATATTGAAGTAATGTTTGTTTCATATAATATTAATGTCATATATTAAATATATATGTGATGATTTGTTATCATTGATTGTTATAACCCATAAGTGAAAATTTCAAATTACAGTGGTATAAATGAGATTTACCTATCATAACCTGATATATATTAGTAGGGGTAAAAGTTATATAACTTAAAATGGGGAACACAAATGCAACTAAGGGCCTGTTTGGTGTCTGTTCCCATCTGTGGTGTAATGCTCCAAGCCCGCTACAATAGCCCATTTTTAGAACAAAACATGTTTGGGCCGGATTGTATTATTTTCAACAGTACCAGAACACTTTCAAAATTTGGGCCAAAACTTGGAACAAAAAAAAAACTTGTTTTGGCTTGTTCCACAAACTTTTTTAGGGCAAATCATTTCAGCCTCCCAATCGCCTCCATCACTATTCTCGTTCTCAACTCTGAACTTGCCCTAGTCTCTCTCTCTCTCTCTCTCTGCAACTGCAAACTACAAAATCTACAAGGATCAAAAGTCCTGCCTCCATCTCTATTCTCGTTCTCAACTCTAAACTTGCCCTAGTCTCTCTGTCTCTCTCTCTCTCTCTGCAACTGCAAACTACAATATCTACAAGGATCAGAAGTCCCGCCTCCATCTCTATTCTCTCTCTCTCTCTGCAACTACAAACTACAAAATCTACACGGATCAGAAGCCCCGCCTCCATCTCTATTCTCGTTCTCAACTCTGAACTTTGTTACATACCAAATTTCCCCCAACCCAAATTCGATCCCTTCCAAACAACCACCAAAACCAAATTTCCCCAAATCCCACCAATTCAAAATATTGTGTATTTCAAAATTTTGGATTTATGCTATGTTTTATCTAATTACTCTCATCTACAGAGCCGATTTTTCATAACCCATTTATGATTGGGTTAATTCCACCTACACCCCCTGACCTTTGACCATATCCCACTTACACCCCCTCTAAGTTTCAATATTCCACGCACACCCCTTAACCTTTGACCAAACGTACCAAGTTACCCCCCGCCGTTAAGTAATAGACGGCTAGTGTTGATGTCAGGAGTAAGAAATGAGTGCAAGGTGAATTTTGCCCTTCACAATGTCTGAAATGACATTTTTAACCTCATAGAGTATTGCAGAGTTACAAAACTACCCTTGTGACAAGAACAACAATATATCATACGCTTCATATATTCTCTGACTCTCTCACACACATATATTCATTGTACACACAACTGAGTCACTCTCTAATCTGGCGTTGATAAGCTTCACCAAGGGTCTCTCTCTAATATTCACTGTACACACACGCTCCAACTCGAGGACATTACGAGGGTCAAGTTCAACGGCGATAATGAACTTGCCTGCGTTGATGAGCTTCTTGGTGAGATTTTCGATACCGGGACCGATCTCGAGGATGACATCGGAGCACGAGATAAGGATGCCCTTCTATTCTTCGTCGCCTTGTGATCCTCCACGTGAACCCAAAGCGGCGGCAAGTTCGCGAGCGACAGTGGTTAGGAGGTCGAATCCTTCAATCATGTTTTCGATTAGGCGGTCCGACCTTGGCGATTTTGATTCTTTGGAGTCATCAACTGGACCGGTTCCTGTGAGGAACAATTTACTTACATACGGTGAGAAAAGGCTTCTGGTTTGGGTATTGGCCGTTTGGGTTTGAAGTTGGAGTTTTTTGGGGCAAATATGGTGAGAAATGGCGAGATTGAACTGACAGACGATGAAACTTCCAACTCTCGCCTTCGTTGTTAAAGATCCCGTTGCCAGAGAAGATGGGTTTTTCAACTTTTTCTCACTCTCTCTCTTTCATGTTTTTTTCCTCGACCAGATAAAAACAAGAAGTTTCCTCAGTGGTTTGCTCAAGAAAATTTCAGGCGCCGCAAATCCCGATCTTGGGGAATGAAGCAGTCTGTGGTGCACCATCGGTAGCCAGCAATCTTTCAGTGATATCAAGGACTCTGATGATGAAATCCGTTTCAAAATGACTCCAACAGTAAGAATTCAAAGATTCAATCATTTTGTAATAGCACAGATGCACCATTGGAAAACGCCGGGGAAGTTTCAGCTCTCGCCGTCAGTGTTGAAGATGCCGTCGCCGGAGAAGATGGGTTCATCACTTGATACCCAGGTTCTGGGCTGTTTGCTAGAAACTATATCAAATATGCAAGGTTTCAGAGGGGAAAACAAATAGCTCGATTTATGGGTCCTTTCACTCATCATCCTAATGGAAGAAAAGCTAGAGGATTTTAGTGCTTTAAAGTCCTCATTTCTATTTGTGATGAGCTTGAGAAGATTAGTTTTTTGTGATACAAAGAGAGTGTGTAGTCACCGTCGTAACGCTGGACAAGAATGAGGTAAGCCAGATCAAAGGCCATGGCGGCGAAGTTCATAGCTAACTCGATCCAGTTCAGTTCGGCGAAGCTTCGCGGTTTGTTCACTGCATGTTAGTGGTCTTGCGACGAAGGATGGCGGCTGTGATAAGAACCAGCAAACTGTCCTTGCAATTGAACGGCGTGCGGGAAGGACTGAAGCTTGAACGGCGGTGTGTCCTTGCAATTGAACGGTGGGCAGCGAACTATCCTTGCAATTGAACGGTGGGCAATAAGGAGAACGGCTCAGCTGTGATAAGAACCATCTTTTTCTGTGGTTGCTGTTTGTGTATTCTATTGGTGGCATAGTTTCTTCGTTGCCGGCAACAACGAAGAAGAAAGGAAAAAAAGAAAAAGAAAAAAGAAATATATATATATATGTATATATATATAGAGTTTATGTATGTATATATGTGTGAGGGTGTTAAACTCTTTTCCTTTAAGTTATAAATTTTAATATATAATTCAAGTGTAAAACAGTAAAATCACACATTTCCGTTGGTAAGCTTGACGGTGGTTACTGATAGGGGGTGTAGGTGGAATTATGAAACGTAGAAGGGGTGTGTGTGGAATATAGGCAAACGTCAGGGGGTGTAGGTGGAATTAACCCTTTATGATTTCCCATAACTAAGCTCTGATTTAGTGTTTTGTAGAACAAATTGTTCAAAAAATCAAAACCCATATCTTTCAGTTTCCATGTTCCAGTTCTGGTTCGTCGTTCGCAAGCTTCAGCCGCTCTCTCAACTCTCAAGCTTGCCCCCTGTCTCTCTGCAACTGCTAACCTGTGTATGGGTTTTGTTTTAATTTTTTTTCTAAATCAACTAATCAAGCTCTGTAATTCTCTTGTTTTGCAAACTAATCAAGCTTAGTAATTAATTTATTTTAATCATCCAAAAAAAATGTAATTTCTATTCCAAAATTTTCACTCCAAATTTTCGTCCTAAACATGTTTTGTTCTCATTTCAGAACACCACATTACAAAACATTTGTTCAGTTCTAGGCTAAAACAAAACACTACAAAGCACAACACTTCCCAAACGGGCCCTAAGGATACATATTAAAATTTGAAAAAAAAAAAAAAAAAAAAAAAGAAAAAGTTAAAGGAAAGTAAAAGACATTACTTAATAAAAATAAAAAGGGAAAAAATGGAATGAAATAGAAAAAGAATAATAAAGAGAAAAAATGTTTTCAAACAAAGAAAGAAAGGAAACTGATTTTTTGTTTACTTAAACATCCCAATCAGATTTTACAAGACAATCATCCACATACACGCTTATCTAGTTCCACTGCTGGAGGGGAAGAGAACCGAAGACTCTACAGAATTACATACAATTAGAAACTCCTGCTTATAGCCATGCAATTCTCTTGAACACAAACTTTGAAATGTTTTTTTATAGCAGGGATGAAGAAAAAAATGTGCATGCTATCGCTATGGAATCATTGTCAACCATCATCTGATAATATTATTAGAACTATTTAAATGGCCTGCTAACAGAAAAAGTCTATCTCTTCCACCATTTTGTGGATCTCTTTTTGGGAAGTTAAATCAATATATCCTCTAGAAATTTTAAAACAGAATTTTGTAGATCCTAATTACACCTCTATAAAGAGTTATATATCACCCAAAATAGGTAAATGAATAATTATTATGGCACTAAGATGCCTCAAAATATAACGAGCAAATGACAACGCTAGTGTTTACCATATATGCAAACGTGGAATGTGAAATAGTAGTGTGGAATGTGAAATAGTAGTATGGAATGTGACATATGCTTCTAGGAATGTGACATAGTACTAAGAGGGGTCATGTCCCGCATGGATTCCGGACGGGGAAGAGATTGGTATTTATAGGTTGGTATACAGCACTACCCAATAATTTAAGATTTTGGGTTAGAGGGCAAGTGCTCGACCAATTATAAATGGTATCAGAGCCAGAGCTAGTCTTTGATCCAGTGTCATGCCAAGCGCCTGCCCAGTAATGTCCGGGTCTTGCCCTGAGTAGGCAAGGTAGTTCTACCGAAATAAGGGCATTGTGAGTTCGGGTGGCGGAGAGTGTTAGAGGGGTCTTGTCCCATACCGGATCCAGATGAGGAAGAGATTAGGTATGTATGAGAGGATATGGAATATTACCCAATAACTTAAGCTTTTGACTTAGAGGATAAGTGTCCGATCCATTACAACTATCCACTAATATATGTTACAATTTGGATCCTATGAGGATGAACAAAGGTTGTACTCAGTGCACAACGCTCCCACAGGTGGATGGCAGACAACCTTGACCCTATTTTTAGAGAGGCTGATTATGGTGCTTGAGCCCGTGCCACTACAGGGGGCAGATGAGCACTTTGTCATCACTTCAGGTCCAACATCTTTCCATGAGAATGAATATTTTTCACAATCTAATAAAAAATACATTTCATTATTTTTTAAAAAATAAAATTCTATAGATCGGAATATGAACAAATGAAATAAGAAAAATGTGTTACTTCTCAAAAGAAAAGAAGGAAATAAGGAAAAGGCTTCTTTCTATAAGCAACACTATGAATGAAGGAAGAAGAAGAAGGCATGACTGTAAAAAGCTAACACTATATTTATGAATTTATTTTAGTGCCAATGATTGTAAAAAAGATTCCAATCCAAGAAATTCACAGAATTAGAATTGTTATCTGTTACTATATCTGATTCACATTTTTTTACTTATCACATTTTTTATTTTTTTTAGTTACTTATAAAAAATATAAGAATAATAATAATAATAATAATAATAGGTTGTTTAGTTATGCAACATTTAGAGCATAAAACATAAAACCAGATTTTTAACCACCTAAACACCATTCAATACCCTAGCAACACTAAACCAAACCATCAAGAAGAGAACAATTCAGTTGACCATACATTGGTTTCATTTTTATTAATCCACTGCAAAAGCAGGTTCCAAATCGAGACCATTCTAAAAATATTCACAGTTCGCTTCGACACTATTTCATCGATTATGATAGAAAAGCGAAGTCATGTCAAATCTCTTGGGCTTCACATTTTTCTCTATGCAATATTGCTATGCATATTACGTATATATAGATGTATATAGTACACAGATACATATAATTCCAATTTTCCTTGAACTGAAAAAAATTTATTTCCTAGATAGGAACCTACTGAAGGTATTGTATTACATGGCATATAAACTGAATGAATAAAGACTATAAACTATACACATTAATAACTTACTTATCAAAATATAGATAGATAGATATATATATATACACAAATTAAAACTTGATGGATGTTTGTAATTACATAGATATTATAGATGTTTGTAAATTAAACTGCAGTAAAGAACACACCTTTCTTCCTTGTGTAGTTGCTATAAATCTGATTGATAACAGATAAGCTGAATTTTGATATTCTACCCCACCCATATTGCAAAGTTGTTGAATCCACAGGATCTAAATACATTGACAAATGGTTCGAATGGTTCCCCTTTGGAAATAGAAGCACCCGCCTTTTTCACATTTTTCACACAATGCAGACAAAAAATCTTAAATATGAACCATAACCATCAAAATTAAATCTAGGAGGAGGGTAGAGATAAAAATTACCATTTGTATCCTCCAACATAGAAACTTGGAGAGTATAGCTTCTTGTTCATCAGTCTCGAAAAGTTCTTAATCGTCCATGTGAACCGTGCGGATGGTACATCATCTTTCTTTCCTCTTTCTAGCAAAGAATTAAGAGAATTTTATAGCAAGAATCAAAACATCAGCACAAATTTGACAATAGCCATCAAATTAGTGACCGATATATATATATATATATATATATATATATATATATATATATATATATATATATTTCAATCTACCAAGGAAAACTTGACCTAGAAGTTGAGACTAAAGATACAAAGCCACACGACAAATGTAGACCTTTTGTTAGCAGTTTTTGCTTGTGCAACTGACAATGATTTCCGAAAAACAATAAAATCAAATCAAAACCCTAATTCAAAGCATATCTATTAGACACACAGACACATACTCACACACATATCTACATGACTTTGGATTAAATCAGTTCTAAACCTAAAATTTGAAAATTAGATTGAAGGCCGTACCTTCCATGGGTTGAGGGGTTATGCAGGAATGGGAATCAGAGACAATGATTTGAACACGAAAGTAAAAAGTGTTCTGAATTTAGAGGCAGGTCAATATTAGGCTGCAACATGGGCGGGTTGGGCTTGCAACTCAAGCCCAACCAGAGATAAAATGTTCAACCCTAACCTCATCTCTAACCCTTATTTAATCGGAGCCTAATCTATATAAAGATAATAATTTGAATATTATTTATATGATTCTTTTAAAATACAATAATATATATAGTGTGTGTATATATAAGTTGCACCTCTAGAAGTACAATTTGGACGGCCAACTCGATTTTTCGTAAGCCTAAAAATTCATTTTTACAATTAAAATTGAGCAGGAGTTGAAAAATATCAAGAATTTAATTAGGATGAAGTTTAGATTGAAGTGTCAACTATCCAAGGCAACCCAAACCTAAATTCTAATCTATTTAAATTTTTTTATTGTATATGATACTGAAACTATGATTATTTTTTTCTTTTTTAACTTCCTTTATTACCATCTTAATTTATATTTTATATAGTACTACCACTTTAGAGACTTAATTTATAAGGAATTTGTTTGTAATTTTTTAAAAAATAGTATTAAGTTTTTTTGAAAAAATTTGCTCTCAGGAGTATCATAATACGGAGAGATGAAGAAGGAAGGTGAAGGATGGTGGTTGTGGCGGTCATTGTGGATGGGGAGAGGGGGCGATGGTGGAAGTAGTGGCGGCAATGGTGGTGGGAGGAGGGGGCCGTCTTTGGGGCAGTGAGAGGAGGAAGAGAGATAAAAGAAGGATTGGACGAGAAAAAAAAAAAGCCGCATTTAAGCCGTATGTAATGAGCAAAATGGTCATTTGTCATTTTTAGATATTTTTTTTAAATTTTTTTAACCATATAATAATAAGGGTAGTCGAGTAAATTCACCTCAAAAAAGTCCAAATTTGTCCAAAGGGAGTTGTTGCAAAAAAAAATAATAAAAAATTGATAAACCTTTTCTCTACTTGTAATTAGGATAAAAAATTTACCTAAAAAATTTTAATCATCCAAATGATATTTTCCTTGAGTTGACAGATTTTGAGTTTTTAGACACCGTACTTCAAAATGTTGCATGTTGTTATGAGATGTTTGTCCACTAAGAATTACATTTGCAATATATTAATTAAATTTGTGACTTATTTAAAACTTGACTACTTCTCTTTCTTTTCTTTTTTTTTTTTTATTTTTTTTTTTCAGATTTAAACTTTGACTATCTGATATAATTAAATTTTAAAAGATACAAGAATATAACGGTTAATTTTTTTTAATTATTCTTTTTAAATTTCACATTATGATTAAAAACATAGTAAAAAATGTTTTAAAATAAAAAATAAAAATCTTACACTTTTAATAGTATATATATATATATATATATATATATATATCATCTTTTCTATGGTAACACCATATCCTATCACAGATGCTCATACGATTTGTAATATATGGCGCTAAAATAGCCATTGTCTCGCATTTTCAAATCCTAAAGTCCGTGCATTATCCAGGCCTAACTCCTCAAGCGGTGTGTTTGTGATTGAGTCCCCCACCTCTGAATTTGTCAAGGGTAAAAAAAAAAAAATCCTCAAGTCTCATATTTTAGTTTTCCTTCTCTCTAATTACTGAGCATTCTAGTCTCTGGCTGGCTTGAATAATAATCCATGACAAACTCACTCGGACTGAGAGTGTCTCAGACTAACTAGAATAATGCTCCATAACAAACTCACTTGGGTTGGGCTCAGATTGGCCTTGTTCTAAATCATATTGGGATTTAAAAATAGTTGAAGTTCAAAAAGGTCAAGCTAGTTATGCTTACACCGAGTTAGAACTAAGGTTGTATTTTTTATTGGTAATAAACTCACTTACCCATTTGTTCCATCGTAGACTGATCTCTCACTTACACTTTGAAAGATTCGAGGAGATACATATGAAGAAAAAAAAAAGTCTCACTTAACTGGGAGGAACCATTTGTAGCGCACAAAGTTCTGAGAGGAGGGGCATACCTACCTTAAGAAACCAACCCTATGAAAAGGCTTGATATTCAACAATAACGGGACGACCAAAAAGAAAAGAAAAAGGAAAGATAGGTCTCACTATCAAGTTGTCATGCATTCGTTTAAGAGCATCAAGTTGTCATGCATTCGTTTAAGAGCATCAATATACACTGCCATGTATCAATATACAAGTTGTCATGCATTCTGTTAAGGTGTCACGTCATCAATGTATAAAATTATTGCCTATTTTACACAATTTTTTTACACAACCACATTAGCATATTTCCATTAACTAATCACTCCTATATCAAGTAGGTTTGTAAAAATCATGTAGGGTCCAGGCATGACACAAGTTGATTGTTATTAGAAAATATATGTTTACACAAAAGAGATAAAACAACCGAAAAATAAATAATTCAAATTTTTTGTGTAAATCTATCATGACACATCATTTACACAAATATATATATATATACACACCACAATTGAAGATGCTCTAAGTGCAAAAGATAATCACATTCATTAGTAGAACTATAGGACTAATTAACATTACAGAATATCGATCCTAACAAACCAGAAATAAGCTAAAATTCCAGAGACACAGATTAAGATCATTACATTCATTAGTAGAACTAAAGGACTAATTAACATTACAGAATATCGATCCTACAGAGATTTTGTTTGGTTACATGAACATGTGCCTAAAGTGACTCCATTTTTGTTGGGCTGATGACAGGGAGCTCTCGGCAGTCTTCTTCTCGGTCTCAAGGGTTGAGATCTCCTCAAGAACAGAGGATCTAGACTGTTCTATATTAACCATCTTCCCATGCAGTTGTTTGATCTCTCTCTCAGCACTTCTCTTCTTCTCAGAGATCTTTGCCAGTTGTTGTTGAAGTTTGGCCTCATCCGCAATCAAGCTCTTGTGAATAGCCCTCTGCATTTGGAATGCTAATGCATTAATCTTTACCCGCTCAACCAAAGACTCCTTTGTTCCTTGCTTTTCTGCCATTTTTACTTCCACCTCCTTCAAAGAATGGATGGAAGTCTGGCAAGTTTTGAGAAGTGTTGGAAACTTAATCTTGAGGGAGTTCAACTTTGCAAGCTGGGCTGGAGTAAGGTCACAACAGTCTGACAAGACAGACATGGATTCTGTAAGGTGTGCGGCAAAATCAGGAATTTCTGATAGGTCCCGAGATAGCATCTTTATTAAGAATTTTTTGGCTTCATCAACAGTTGGTTGAGGAATGCAGGCTACAACCGATCCTCCGGTAGTGGAGTCGAAGGGTGCGTCAGGCTCTACTACAGACACCAACTTGGAGATATAGGCATCCATGTCATCAAATGAAGATGATGACATGGCCCCGACCTTTCGCCTTCTTTTTTTCCTTGCCTTAACCTCAAGTTCAACATGACCACTCTCTCTTTTTGTGTCACATAACCGGCATTCAACAATTGAATCGTCAATATCAGCTTCAACTACAATATCAGCTTCAACTATGCATATATCATTCACAAGATATCCTCTACCAGGGTCATGCAGTTCACTAAGAGGCATAAATGAACTGAAACCCCAATTACTATGTCGTTCATCAAACTGGCATTTGGTGTCTGCATAATGAAGACAATCACAACTATCATCAAATATAACATGAAAGGTCAAAAGGCTGGATGCTACAACTAGAAGTGCAGTGGACCTCAACACCTAGCGCACACCTGTATGTTCCGTATATAAGACATACAGACGGCTATGGTTTTCATAGATGAGTGCCAAGGAAAGGATGGAAAGAAATTGAACATTTTTAATTGCACTAAAAATTTAACAGATTAACATTATCAGAATCGATCCATTATGCGGCCGAATATCCAATGAAAAACTGTCATATCAACCTGCTAAGCATTTAAAGTAAATTAAATGTTTATATTTTTCAACACCAAACTTGAGTACTTAAAGCATTAAATTTTCAACAGTCTCCCCTCCCAATCCCCATAACAACAACAAAAATAAGGATAGAAACACGACGACACATTATTAATAGTAAACAGAGCAAGAATAATCGCCATCGGGAAACTAGAATGCACTGCATTGAGAACAAGAAAGAACACAAAACAAAATTCACTTTCCAGCACCAAATAAATAGTGTGTGTTCAATAGAATTTCCTAAATCTACCCCTTTCTGAAAAAATGAAAAAGAATGAAAGAAGAAAACTCAATATCAACTATCAAGCAATTTGAAAGACCGTGTCATAAACGAAATAAACACATTGTTGAAACTATATGTTCGAAAGACAAAAAATTAGTCTTTTCTAAATATACTCTCCACAACCTTACTTCCCCTCACAAAAAAACCTATAAACAAAATCAGTTTTGTCACCAATATACCTTACAGTTAGGCAAATTCTACCTTGAAAATTTTAAAAATAAGAATACATTCTCATGCCATTCAACATGTGATTGCATTTCTTTACAGATCATTTATGCATCAACCATATAAAAGACTTCTGAGAAAGGCTGCAGGATTGACATTCTTGCTCACTGTCTGAGTAACAGATAATTAAATGCAATAAACGATGCCTTATTCTGACTTATTTCCTCTCCTTTGGCATCCTTACTTTGTAGAGAAGGTCGAGTATCCTTTTTGGCCTTCTACCACTGGCAAGGGGGAGCAGTCTTTGCAATCAGTGTGAACTGATAGAACGGATGAATTACGTAGACAAAGCAAGATTAGATCAACTGAGAACTTAGTTAGTGTTGTTGGAAAAATGACTGTGGAGATGTAGACATCGCGAAGAAAGGTGATGAACATGTGAGAAGTAACAGTAATGACTATTGTGAAAGTGAAAGTGAAAGTGAAAGTGAGGTGTAACAGGTAGTATGTAAAGATAATGACTATTGTGACAATGAATCTTTTTTCAATTCCAATCAAATCTCACCAGAGCATATGCATACTCAATCTTTTTACTCCCATAAAGTTGATTCCTTAATAAATTTTGATTAATTTCATCGAATTTTAAAGATATATTATTCAGTACAGAATTACCCAACTACTAATGTGGCATTCACCTTATTTAATTACTTGGTCAATCCTGCATGCACCATCACGAGGAAAAAGAAAAATCAATACACCACAGATTTTCAAATTAAAGGTTATGCTAAGTTCCACACCTATGATGTTCAATAAGAGATTGATACATCTGGTACAACCTTTTTTGCCTATTTGACATTGTTTTTGTTGGGGCAGCGGAAGCGCGCGAAACACAAAGATCCAAAGAAAGCCAACAAAACAATCACAAGATATACATGGTTCAGCCAAAACCGGCCTACGTCCATGAGATTGAGAGAGATGTAGTCTCATGAGGGAGTTGATGGGTAGAGATAGTATGCGGAGGGAGAGTAGGAAAAACACCGGTGATGCTGGTAGCAAGGAAATAAACTCGTGGAATGGTGGTGTTGGTACTCTATTGTTGTAATATCTCTACGAATCATAGTGGAATCTCTTCTCATCCATGGACGTAGGCCGATTTTGGCTGAACCATGTATATCTTGTGTTTGTGTGTAATTGCCTTGTTGGCTTTCTTTGAATCTTTCTTATTCATGCACTTCCGCTGCCCCCAACAAATTCTTATCTGACATTGTTTTTGTTAGGGCAGCGGAAGCGCGCGAAAAACAAAGATCCAAAGAAAGCCAACAAAACAATCACACACAAACACAAGATATACATGTTTCAGCCAAAACCGGCCTACGTCTATGGATGAGAAGAGATTCTACTATGATTCGTAGCGATATTACAACAATAGAGTACCAACACCACGTACATGTCTTTTCACCATGTGCCACTTCACGAGCCTATCTCCTCGCTACCATTGTCATTGGTGTATTTCCTACTCTACCAACCCATATACTCCCTTTACTACCTCTACCCATCAACTCCCTCATGAGACTACATCTCTCTCAATCTCATAAGTCTCAACCCACAACATATGTACCTATTTATAGAGTTACAAACATAATTCATTGTTGGACAAGGATTATAATTCCTTAGAGACCAAGACTTGCTAAATAAGAAATTACCTAACAGAATACAACTCTAAAATAGAATCCTAATTATAATAGGAATCTGAGACACAATTTTCAACAGTTTTGTTATTCGATAGGGTGAAAAACTCTGCCCTCCCCTAAGGTTGTCCAAATTACTTGCAGATGAAACTATTGGCGACATAACTTTGACAGGGGCATCAAAGTTAACCTCGTTAGTCTACTTAATATAACGTGTGAAAGTGCCATTTTACCATCACTAAAAATCTTTTGAAAGACTAATGCGTATGCTGATGTCATCAACAGAAAATCAATTTACTCTTAAATCCTCATAACCCTAAAGACGCTAAAGTTAGTTTTTCACTCCAAACGATCAGTTTATTCTTTCTCATTCACTTCATACCTGAAACTCCACCAAATCATGGTGAAGAAACTGTTATTAATTTACGCTTTTCAAAAATTAGGGTTTTTGAGTCATTGTCGGGAAAAATGGTAAAAAGGTACAGATTCCTAGGTTTTCCACATTCACAGGAAGGACGTCAGACTTCCTCGGTATCTTTCCGAAAACAGGAGGGAAATCCAATGGCCGGCAAGAAATCCCGGCCACCGTATCGATAGGCTGCCGCATGTGGAGTTACTACACATGATCCAGTGACCGCATACGACGGCGTCCTGGAAGCAAAGAGTTCGATAATGGAAACCATTGACGGAGGAGGACATATTATTTTGAGAGGTTTGGGAAGGAAGAGCATGGCTCTGATCTTCACAGCCTGATGTGTGGAAAACGAAAATCGACCATATTCTTCAATCAAAATAGCAAGGTCTTCGTCGCAGGTGATTGAAACCAACAAATCTAGATCTTCACTCAGCAACTAACACTTCATCATCACCAACGATCTACGCAACTCTCCAAACTTCTACAGACTCTGTTTTCAAATGGGGTTTTGATTCTTGGTGACTTGTAAAATTCTTTTCATTTCTTGAAATCTTGCTGTACTGGATTATAATAACCCAATTCTGGTACTTTAGTTCAGAATCTTTAACCAAGTTTTTTTTTAATGACTTCGACTTTAGGTCTTGTAACGTTGGTGTGGTTCAAAGCTGGGTTCTGCGAGAGAGGGAGGGAGGGAGGGAGGGGGAAACTTACAAGGTTTGCTTGGCGCCAGAGAGAGAGAGAGAGGAAAATGTTGCAAATTGTAAGGAAAAGTGGGGCAAGTTACATTGATATAAGCAAGGGGTAGTCTTGTCTAAATATTTTGTAGAAATGGTTATTTGATATATTAATAAAGTCGTTTGAGTCATTTTACTTACTATTGATGGAATTAATCCCTAACTGATATCAGGGGTGGTCAAAGTAACTTGGACACACCTCAAGGGAGGAGGTTGACCATACTTCTTAAAATGGTTTCATCCGCAAATAACTTGGACAAATCTCAAGGTAATTCACCCTATTTGAATGTCATGTGCCCTTAGTCCATACGTGGAACCTAAGGAGGAAAGACAATTTAAAGAGGAACCTTATTTGTGTTGGGCTGGTGACAAACACCAATGCTTCTCAAAACTTCCAAACACTTCTTACACATTTTGGATAAATCCATAATTAAAAATAAATTTGTTAATTTTAGATTCGTGCTCAACACTGATTGCCTCTTGATAACATGTGACCATTTAACTTCAGACTTTAGCTTATTACTTTTTTAGCATGGAAAGAAAGTATAATTGTTTGGATAAATGAATAAACGGTTATAAAATACTAAGAACAAGTTTCAACATAATTAAAATGCAAAAATTAAAATACTGGAAAATTTTATTAAATAGGTGAGATCCAAGTAGTGCCCTCAAAATTCTTTGTGTACCACGTCGGTATACATATTTACATGTACAGAGGTATATACATATTTTTGCCTTGGTTTTTCATAAAGGCACATTGGTGCCTTGTTCTTGCTATTATATGTCGATAAAACACGGGTAATTACCATAAGTAACAAATTTCATGTTACATTACACAATATTAGATTTACCCATCATGAATTAATGTTTGTTTCATATAATATTCATTTATTAAATATATATATATATATATATATATATATATATATATATATGATTGTTTGTAATTATTAATTGTAATAACCCAGAAGTGAAAATTTCATGTTACAACCATATAAACGAGATTTACCTACCATAACATGGTGTTTGTCATACACAATACATTAGAAATGTATTTCTTTGTTATTGAACTTTCATCATGTCACGCCAACTTCATTTTGATCTGTCATGTATGGTATTTTCATGCAATGTTTGTGTCAAGTGGCTGTCTCAATGTCACACAGGTTGGTAAAAAATAAAACTTTTTGGCTCAGAAACAGTCGGGGACGACTCTGAAGGGGATTTTGGTACACCTTCGGCTTGCAACGGGCTTGAGTTTTCGGCTGATGACGGTCATGACAGGTTGGGGGGAGGGGCCAATGACAGGAGTGTTATGGAGATGGTCCCATGAGAGGATACTAATAGTCTGGAGATGCAACCGTTATCTGTATTATGGCCGGATGGGAGGAGGGATTTCTCTACATTA